AATACTGTATTTGTTCTTCTCCCTCCAGCCTAGGAGGCAAAAAGAACCCTAGCAGCTCTGTTCTAGCACCAGCCAGCGCTGGCCACCAGGGGGCGGGCGTCACGTACATTGTGCATGGAGCCTGGTGGCTGACTATTTCAGGCATCCAAGCCCTCAGCGCCTTTTCCGAAGGGAGAAGCCAGGCCTGGGGCCGCCAGGAGCTGTTACAAAGTTTGAACCATGGAAGCAGAAGGCACCCCACACAGCGCCCGGCCGGGTTTCCTTTACCCGAAGGGGCCCTCGCGGAGGTGGCTCTGTCATTCCCTGGGGTGTGTACATACATTTCCCACGATACCTGCCCGTCATGGCCAGATCCCTGCCTTGGTGTGGAGTGGTGTGTTTTAAAAGCTGGGTGATACCGTGTAAAGAGGGTGGGCCCAGAGCCAGTCAGCCCGACTCAAACGCCAGCTCTGCCGGCAGCGTGGCTGTGTGGCCTTGGGCAGGTAGCTCCCCACTCTGTGCTTTGCTCCCTTCACTTGTGAAGTGGGGTGTGAGGGGGAAAGGCTACCACATACGTGCCTGGCAAAGCGTGGTGCCGGCCCGCGGTCAGTGTTTAGTGCCGTCGCCCTTTTGTCAGATCATTACGCGCAGAGGGCCGTGTCTGTGCTGCTCACTGCCCCCGTCTTGTGCCCAGGACGGCGCCTGCTGTGCCGCGACGGAAGTAAAAGCAGCGTACAGTGAAGGCGCTGCTCTTTTAAGTCCATTAGACATTGAGCCTTATTTTTCCAAAAGCACTTGAGGCACCTCTAGAGGCGGCGTGAGCTGCTCTGGGCCAGCAGAGCCCGTGGCTCTAAGGTCACCGCACCGATGTACGTCCGTTACACTTGTCAGTACTCAGAACGGCTGTGATATCCGCGGAGTCTGTTGTACTGAAAAGGATGTTTTTGCTACAAAGTTGAAAACTACTTAAGAAATGAAACACTTAAAAAAAAAATCTCAGATAAGATAATGAATATAAGAACCTCATAAACTCGAAGGCATGCCATCATTCTTGCTGATGAGCAGTCCTAGCTGCCTGGCGCAAGTAAGATAAATACTGGAATCGGAAAATACACGCCATGTTTGCTGGCGGTCGCCCCCCCCCCCCCCCGCCCGCCCTTTCCTCTCTCTCTTCCCCCCTCCCGCCTCGCTCTCATTGCTCTTCGAATGCCTTTTAGGGCCCACACAGCTCCTTTCAGAACGTGCTTGTCATCTGCTAAATCTCCGCTGCACCTGCCAGCCGGTGGAGCGAAGGTGCTGTCCCTCTTTGGCACGTCCCATCCGAGAGGGCCCCTCAGCCGACCTCCTCATCTCCGCCGCTGTTTGCAGCCATCAGCCCGGAGAGGCGCCAGCGGCCTTCCCCTGTGAGCTGCGCGGGCTCAGGCTGGGCAGCCAGCTGTGCTCAGTTATAGCGAATGAACCGTCTTTACAAACTTGGTTCTTACAGACGCAGCGCAGCGCCCAGCAGTCTGGCCCTGGAGCCCTAATCCCAGGTGCTGCGCATCCGCCGCCCCAGTGGGGACGAAGGGAGCGAGGGCTTCAGCACTGGGGACGGGCTCGGGTGCTGGGGACCAGTTCTCTGCCGCAGGGCCAGGATGACATGCCCCTCTCCAGCCTAACCGCCAACTTAGGCAAAAGTTACCCACCCGTTGTGTTGGTTCCCCACTGGGCTGGCCGGGGGTCCGTGGGGCTGGCCGGGGGGTCCGTGGGGCTAGCTGTGGGGTCTGCGGGGCTGGCCATGGGGACCGTGGGGCTGGCCGGGGGGGTCCGCGGGGCTGGCTGTGGGGTCCGCGGGGCTGGCCGTGGGGTCCGTGGGGCTGGCCGTGGGGTCCGTGGGGCTGGCTGTGGGGTCCGTGGACCTGTGGGGTCCGCGGGGCTGGCTGGGGGGTCCGTGGACCTGTGGGGTCCACGGGGCTGGCGGTGGGGTCCGCGGGGCTGGCTGTAGGGTCCGTGGGGCTGGCTGTGGGGTCCGTGGGGCTGGCTGTGGGGTCCGTGGACCTGTGGGGTCCGCGGGGCTGGCCATGGGGTCCGCAGGGCTGGCCGTAGGGTCCGCGGGGCTGGCCATGGGGTCCGCGGGGCTGGCCGTAGGGTCCGCGGGGCTGGCCATGGGGTCCGCGGGGCTGGTCGTGGGGTCCGTAGGGCTGGCTGTGGGGTCCGTGGGGCCTCGGGGAGCCTTCCTGGGGTGCACCCTGGGAATAAGCGCCACCTGCTGAGGGCCAGCTGGGCCCTGCCGTCTGTGCTGCGGGAGCGAAGGGCAGTTATGAAAGTAACGTTTGGTCATAAAGATAAAGACGGACATTGACAACCCCATCCTCTGCTCTCCGCCCGTTTCCTAGAGGCGGCCTCTGTGAGGTTTTCTGTTGGGGTCCAGCCCCAGCACGTCCAGGGGTCCCCAAAGGTGTGGATGGAGTCGGCGAAGAAGGAATGACACGGAGACAGCGTTCAGTTGATCAGCAGCCTAGCCAGGATCTCCAGCCAGGTTCTGTCCAGGATCTCCAGCCAAGTTGTGTTTTGAAGCCAGGATCTCCAGCCAGGTTCTCCAGCCAGGTTCAGTCGCCAGGTTCTGTCTTTTATTGTCTTGTTACATCTGTATTTATACCAGTTGATTTTAATCCTGTCAATTTCTATTCCAAAGGTTAGCGCGTTTCTTATCTCCATTCCAGGGAGTAAAGATTATGTAGCTTAAGCATGATTGTTCGTAGTTAAAGTGATTAACTACCCGCCTGGCACTTAGTTAAGGGGTTTTATTCCCTCCCTAACTTCAGGGAAAAATCCCTACCTGGGGAAACAACCTTCCTCGGAGAGGTGACCTTGGTTAAAACACATAGCGCCAAGAGGGGGAGCAAACACTTCAAGAACAGTATGCTATATACGCCAGGTCCCCCGAGACATATGCTGTGCAGATGTTTCTTCCCTGCAGCGACTGTGTCAAGCAGCAAGGACGGACCGGCTTCCGCCAGTTTCCCATGTGCGCCTTTCATGTATGCTCTACACATGTGTAACATGCAGTGTCTGTACAGACACAAGTTCTTACAGTGTGCTGGATGCACTCCTTCACCACTTGCCTTGAAAGTCGCCGTGGACATCCTTCCAGTGAGCTCAGTGCATTGCTTTGATGACTGGCTGGCCTTCCATGACCAGAATAGACGTGATTTAAGCAGAGACATTTAGGTTGTTTCTAGTTTTTTCTCCTGTATAAACAGTGTTGCAAGCAGCATCCTTAAAAATAATAAGTGTTTATGAGATGCTTTTGTTGTTGCTGTTAATCCTCACCTGAGGATATTTTTCCATTGATTTTAGGGAGAGTGGAAGAGAGAAGGAAAGATAGAGAAACATCGATGTGAGAGAAACACATCAATTGGTTGCCTCCCTCACGTGCCCCGACCAGGGCCCGGGCCGGGGAGGAGCCTGCCACCAAGGTACCTGCCCTTGACCGGCATTGAACCCGGGACCCTTAGGCCTGCAGGCCGACACTCTATCCACTGGGCCACACTGGCCAGGGCTGTGAGATGCGTCTCTAGGAGTGAAATTTCTGAGCGGGGGTGTGGTTATCTTGCATTTTGATAGACGCCAATTGGCTGTCTGTGGTTTCCAGTCCAGCTCCCGTCACCTGCGTGCACAGTTCTCTCCCCGCCTTCTCGTCAGTCCCAGGATTGTTCTCTGTCCCGCCGGATCTCAGGTGGAAAGACGATCTCACCTTTAATGCTTATTGGTCATTTGTCGTTGATTTTTTCTACAAATTGATTGCTTATATCTTTTTGCTACTTGTCTGGTAAGGTTTTGGTCTGTACTTACATGAATTCTGAGATTTTTATATAAATTAAGGAAATTGACACTTTAACTCATAAATTGCAGTGTGTCCTCCAGTTGGCCACTTGATTTTATGTTTGTTGTGTGGGTTTTGTTGTTTTGCCCCAGAAGTTTTCATTCTTTTTGTTTGCAGTTCAGATGGAGAAACTTCACCTTCCCATCTTCTGCGCATCCCTAGAGAATCCTTTCTGGGCCAAAATGTAGGGGAGTGTGTTTCCTTCTGGAGCTTCTGTATTTTTACTTTGACGCGTGCCTCTCCTCCGTTGGGGTTTGGTATAAGGAGTGAGTGCAGTTTCGGGTTTCTGTTTTGCACGTTACCCGCGGCTTCAGCGTTGCTCCCGAGGCACTTCTGTCCCTGCAGATTGGAACTGGCACCTGAATGGTCAGCTATGCTGGAGCCAGGCTCTTCTGCTGACCTTTGCCCGTCTCTGAACCAATTCCATGCTGCTTTAGCCTATTTAACAATGAATAGGACTAATTCTCCCCCATTCTTTGTCTCCTCAGAATTTATTTTCCTGGCCAGTTTCCTTTGCTTATTCGTATTCTCACTTGTGAACTTTAAGCTTATTCTGTTACGTTCAAGCTATCTTCCACCCCCTCGAAGAAGGAAAACAAAGACACACCCACCAGCCTGTTGGAGATGGCGGAGGCTTCTTGGAGGCGGGAGGCCCTTAGGGAGAACCGATAACATTGGATGTCATGTCAATGTTGCTCTTCTGCGCTGTGAAGCCATCTTTTATGCCATCGGTACAGGTTTGGCGTCTTCATACAGACCCTACCCTTAGCGTGTGGCTGGGTGCAGCCCTGCGCTTTATGCGCTACCCACGTGGCACTGCCGCCTGGAACGGCAGTGGCTGCAGACGGCTCCTGGTCTCACGCGGACCCTTTAGGGGAAAAGCGATAGCATCTACCCTGGGCCACAGCTCGGTGTGCATGGGTGTGACTTACCTGTAGGTGTCTTTGACGAATCCTTTTCTGTTCCATACCTGGCTACACACAACACACATACCCAGCTTTCTCTCATTGCTTCACGTAGGCTCTGACCTTGCATTCAGTTCTCCTTTTAAAAATGTGACTTCCAGCCCAGCCCATGTTGCTCAGTGGTTGAGCATCGACCTATGAACCAGGAGGTCACCGTTCGATTCCCGGTCAGGGCACATGCCCAGGTTGTGGGCTCCATCCTCAGTGAGGGGCGTGCAGGAGGCAGCTGATCCGTCATTCTCTCTCATCATTGGTGTTTATCTCTCTCCCTCTCCCTGCCTCTCAATCAATAAGAATATACATATTTTCAAAAGTGACTTCCAGAATGTTGTGTGAGCTGCATGTCCCCACGTGCACGGTCTCCACGGTGCCCGTGACGCCCCCCGTGCTGGTGGGCACGGTCTCCATGGTGCCCATGAAGCCGCCCGTGCGGGTGGGCGCGGTCTCCACGGTGCCCGTGAAGCCGCCCGTGCTGGTGGGCGCGGTCTCCACGGTGCCCGTGAAGCCCCCCGTGCTGGTGGGCGCGGTCTCCACGGTGCCCGTGAAGCCCCCCGTGCTGGTGGGCGCGGTCTCCACGGTGCCCGTGAAGCCCCCCGTGCTGGTGGGCGCGGTCTCCACGGTGCCCGTGAAGCCCCCCGTGCTGGTGGGCGCGGTCTCCACGGTGCCCGTGAAGCCCCCCGTGCTGGTGGGCGCGGTCTCCACGGTGCCCGTGAAGCCCCCCGTGCTGGTGGGCGCGGTCTCCACGGTGCCCGTGAAGCCCCCCGTGCTGGTGGGCGCGGTCTCCACGGTGCCCGTGAAGCCCCCCGTGCTGGTGGGCGCGGTCTCCACGGTGCCCGTGAAGCCCCCCGTGCTGGTGGGCGCGGTCTCCACGGTGCCCGTGAAGCCCCCCGTGCTGGTGGGCACGGTCGGTGTCTGCACCGCCAGGGCGTTGGCCTCTGACAGTCTGAAATGTGGTTGATGAGGCAGGAACTGAAGTTTCCGTTTTGTTTAAATTTAATTTATTTTCACTGAAATAGCCACAGGAGGCGGTAGCCTGGGTTCCTCAGTCATGTCGTGAAGGGGAGGCTGTGAGCACTGGGCAGGACCTCGAGGCCGCTTGTGCACCGGAGGCGTGGGATCGGCTGCAGGCCACGCAGCCAGTTCATGGCCACAGTGAGAGGAGGAGCCGCCTGCTCTCCCCTCCACGCCTCTCCCCTCCCCCCCTGCCCTCTCCCTTCTGCCCTTCTCTCCTTTCAGGGGCCCCAAGTCTCCCGCGCAGACCCACACGCAGCCCGCCCCCGACCTCCCGAGTGGCCGACCCAGGGCGGCTCCAGGCTCTCCTGTGACGGGCAGTGCCCGGGCCCGGAGGTCAGTGCCCGCTGTGCGTGCAAGGTCTGCTCTGGCCCCGTGGGCACCGGGCTTGGGCCCAGCACCCTCAGGAGATGCCAGTGGCAGGATGTGTGGGCCCTCTGGTCCTGCCCATTAATAGCCCAGCCCAGGGGACGGTGAACTCGGGGCTGCCAGCCAGACCACGGCGTGGCCCCTGCCCGTGCCCCTGCCGCAGCCCATGCTCCCGAGGGCGCGCCTCCGGGCTGGGGCTCCGCTGCCTCTGGTCGCTGCCCCTGGGCTCTCGGCCGTTGCCACTCTGGCTGCTGGGCTGTTGGTCGGCAGATCTGCGCTCCACTCAAGTCAGGCGACGTCCTCTGTGCTCGCCCACGCACACGGAGCACTGTGGTCCTTTCCATTCTGCAGCAGCTGGGAAATGGTCACTTGTCCCCGATGCCGAGGAGGGTGCGATGCAGGTGACCCCGACCCGCAGCCTCCAGCCTGAGCATGGACACATGTAACCAGCCTCCAGCCTGCGCATGGACACGTAACCAGCCTCCAGCCTGCGCATGGACACATGTAACCAGCCTCCAGCCTGCACATGGACACATGTAACCAGCCTCCAGCCTGCGCATTGACATGTAACCAGCCTCCAGCCTGCGCATGGACACGTAACCAGCCTCCAGCCTGCGCATGGACACATGTAACCAGCCTCCAGCCTGCCCATGGACACATGTAACCAGCCTCCAGCCTGCGCATTGACATGTAACCAGCCTCCAGCCTGCGCATGGACACATGTAACCAGCCTCCAGCCTGCGCATGGACACATGTAACCAGCCTTCAGCCTGCACATGGACACATGTAACCAGCCTTCAGCCTGCGCATGGACATGTAACCAGCCTCCAGTCTGCGCATGGACACATGTAACCAGCCTCCAGCCTGTGCATGGACACATGTAACCAGCCTTCAGCCTGCGCATGGACACATGTAACCAGCCTTCAGCCTGTGCATGGACACATGTAACCAGCCTCCAGCCTGCGCATGGACACATGTAACCAGCCTCCAGCCTGCGCATGGACACATGTAACCAGCCTTCAGCCTGCGCATGGACACATGTAACCAGCCTTCAGCCTGCGCATGGACACATGTAACCAGCCTCCAGCCTGCGCATGGACACATGTAACCAGCCTCCAGCCTGCGCATGGACACATGTAACCAGCCTCCAGCCTGCGCATGGACACATGTAACCAGCCTCCAGCCTGCGCATGGACACATGTAACCAGCCTCCAGCCTGCGCATGGACACATGTAACCAGCCTCCAGCCTGCGCATGGACACATGTAACCAGCCTCCAGCCTGCGCATGGACACATGTAAGCAGGCTTCCTGTCACCGTCTGCAAAGCAGGCTCGTGGTCACGCGTGACGAGAGGCTCGGCTCTTTGTCACGGCAGAAGATGCAGAAATGCTACTTGGTCAGCGTCCTGGGAGGAACCACCCATATCTTAAGCCAAATCATCTTCATAGCGATTCCATTATTTCATAATCCGTGACGAGGCATTTAGAGCCGGCAGCGAGGTGAGCTCTGCGTGCGTATGGTCAGGGTGACTGTGCCTCGCCCGGCAGCCCTGGCTCTCTGCCCACCTGTGGTTGTGGGTGGGGCTGATTAGCATGATGTCAAAACACCTAAACCTGCCTGGCCAGTGGCTCCGTTGGTTGGGCGTTGTCCTCGCACCAAACGGTCACGGGTTCAATTCCCGGTCAGGACACATGCTCGGGCTGTGGGTTCAATATCTGGTCGGGTACGTATGGGAGGCAATCCATCGATGTTTGTTTTCTACTCATTTTTTTCCTTCTATTTTCTTTGGGTTACATCTGTTGTTCTGTTTTCTTGTTTTTTGAGATTAATACGTAAATTATTGATTTTCAGTCTTTTCCCCCAATGTAATGCATATAATGCTATAAATTTTCCTCTAAGTATGGCTTTTGCTGCATCTTATAGCTTTAATGTGTCATATCTTCATTATCTTTCACTTCAAGATATTTTCTGATTTCCATTGTAATTTCTTCTTTGAATTCTTTATAAATGCATTGCTTTCTTGCAAACATTGGGGGATATTCTAGTCACCTTTTATGTTATTGATTCCTAGTGTCATTCCAGCGTGTGATCAGAAAACACTCTATCTCAGCCCCTTGACACTCTTTCAGATTTGCTTCATGGCGCCACAGAGAGCCAGTGTCGATTGCCTGGAGGAGAGGGGCAGGCTCGGTGGTTGGGTGTAGCACGTCCTGTACTTCCAGTTAGCCGGGTTCCTTGGTGGTTGCATTGTTCGTGTCATCGTCACCTTCCCAAGTTACGTCTTGTCTAGCTCTTGCTGAGAGGAGTGTTAACAGTTCAGCTGTGACGGATGGATTTCTCCTTTCTGACCTGTCACCGCCTACACCATATTGTTAGGTACATGCAGTTTCAGAATACCTCTCGGGCCAAGTGGAGCTCCCGTCGTTACTAAATGCCCCGCTTTGCTGCGAGGAATGCCTCTCGTCTCAGCGTCTGTCTGCGCGGTGTGAGACAGCACTCTGCTTCCTTCTGATGAGTATTCATGTGGTGTAGCTTGTCCTGTTCTGCTTTTTGTCATCTCAGTGTTTTCCTATTTGTCCCACTAATTTTATATTCCTTTTTCGTCCTTTCTTGACTTCTTTTGAGGCAATTATCACTTTCTCATTGTTTCATTGTTCCACTCTGCTAGTGTGCTTGCTGCACGCGCCTTGGCTGCTCTGTGAGGGCCATTCTAGGGATCGCAGTGTCACCTGGGCCCACTCAGGTCTCATAGAAACGACAGAGCAGAAGTAATATCTCAGCACATGCTGCTTCTGGAGCGCGTGCATTATCATTCTGCAAACGCCTTTGGTCTGCAGCTGTCTGTCTAGCCAACTGTCTGTCCATCAGGCACTAAAGACCGAGGGCTGTTAATGTGATAATCACCCAAGTGGCTGAAAAGGGTGAGGTTGGAATCTTCCATAACCTTTAGAAATTTCTTAATCTTTTTTGAAATTCTGTTACTAATTTTCCTAGAAAAAGAAAAAAACTGTTTTGAACAATAACGTATAATTATTTTCACCAGAACCAGAGAGCACAGTGCCTGTAAAAACTGAAAGCCTTGCCCTCTCAGCACACACAGGCGCGGCCAGTAACTGCCTGTCAGGCACGGCCCGCAGACACCCGGCCGCCTCCGCTTTCATTGCTGAGGCCACACGCTCCCTGGGGTCGGGGGTCCGTGTGCATCTGGTCGTGGATTCATGATGCTCTTCTGAGCCTAGTGATGGAAGTCAGACTGAGACAGTGCCGGGTTATTTCAGAAACACCACCGGCGGGCGGGCGGGCGGGCGGTCCATGCTGCTGCCGCGGGGAGAGGAAGCCCGGCTGTGACTCCTGTGCACCTGTAGGCGCATGGTCCTGAGCAACAAGCAGGGTACGAGCTCCTCGGTCTTCACCCCTTTGGACTGACGTCCTTCACCTTTCCCTGCCCGTCCCCAGTTCCCCCCTCACCCCGCGATGTGATGGAAGCCTTCATAGGTGTTCCCATCAGCAGATCCTGTTCTGTGGGCCTGACATTCCCGCTGCCGTCAGTAGGGGGCGCTTGGTAAAAGAGCCTTTCACAAGGGGCTGTACTGAGGACTCATCCACAAGAACAGACTATAATCAGGAAGATTCATTCATCCGACAAAGTTCAGGTTTTTAACCCGCGTGGCACCTGCTTTCTTGGTTTGGGAGGAGCCTTGGGGGGAGCCTCCGGTGATGGACGGCTTCTTTCCTGCGTTATTTGCGCCGATAAATTCATTCTGAATGAGACGTTTCGGATATTTCTAGCTCACTGAGTTTCTGATTTCATTTTTGTTTCTTAAGATCGTCTGAGGGCTAGGAAGGGATATTAATAGGGATTATTTGAAATAAGGTATGAGATTTTTCTGCCTCTAGAATATGGGCAACAGTTAAAGTCAGCAAAGCACCCCGGATGGCGCTCGCACACTGTCCCTGGCTGTCCCTCCTCAGTGGGAGCTCTGGGAGAAGTTGTGTATGCGTGTGTGTGCACAAACGTGTGTGTATGCATGCGTGTGCTTGGTATGCCCGTGTGCGTGCATGTGTGTGTGGTTTGTTTTCAATGGCCAGCCTCGGGCCTCTGCAGTGGCTGCCCTGGTCACGGAATGGGTAGACTCTGGTGAGATTTATCAGCCAATGGAGATTCAGAGCGAAGCGGAGGCTCCACGTCTGGGTTTGCTGGGGCGAACGACACCAGCGCACCACAGACCGGGCGGCGGGAACAGCGCCCTTACTCTCCCACAGCCCGAAGGCGAAGGAGGCCAGGGTGCCCCGGCGCAGTCTCTCCGCAGCCTCTTTCCAGGGCTTGCAGGCGGCCACCCTCTTGCCGTGTCCTCGTGTGGTCTTCCCTCCGTGTGCACGCCTCTGAATTCCCATTTTTGTCCTAATCTCTCTGATGAATTGGGCCCCCTGAAAGGCCTCTTTTTAAGTTAATGCCCTCTAAAGGCCCCATCTCCACAATAGTCACCTTGGGAAGAACGGGTTAGGACTTCCTCCTCATGTCCTGGGGCCCAGTGCAGCCTGCCGCACTGTCGGGTAATTCTAGCCCCAGTGGAAACAGGCGGTGGCGGTTACGGGGCCGGGCTGTGGGCAGAATGGGGAAGTGCTGGTCAGACGGGTGCACTTTCAGTTATGAGATGAGTTACTTCACAAGGAGACTGCAGTGCACAGCATGGCGACTGGAGTTAGTGATACTGTATCACGTGCTTGACATTTAAAATAGTACTTTTGTATTGATTCCTAAGAGGAAGGGAGAGGGAGGGAGAGACAGAAACATCAGTGATGAGAGGGAATCACGGACCGGCTGCCTCCTGCACGCCCCCTACCAACGATCAAGCCCACAACCCGGGCCTGTGCCCTGACCGGGAATCGACCCGTGACCTCCTGGTTCCTAGGTCAACACTCAACCATGAGCCACACGACTGGGCTGTACTTGACATTTGCTGAGAGTAGATTTAAGTGTTCTCACCACACACACACACACAGGGGGTAAGTGTGTGAGGTGATATATTGATGAGCTTGATCAGTGATTATTTCACTGCATATAACTCATCATGTCCATCTTAAATATATTTTATTCGTCAGTCAGACCCCAATACAGCTGGGGAGGGGTTACCTACAAGACTTTATTAGCACGGTGGTTCCTGAAACAAGCAGCGGGTTGTTCTCTCTTTCATACGACGACTCGGCCAGATTCCAACGTGTGTGGGTGGGACAGGGGGTCCCCACACCATCAATTCTCGGACACCAGCTGGTCCTGCGGTTCATCTCAATTCTCACACTGTCCACCTGGAGATAACACCAGAGCCCAAGCAGGTAAGGGCTTAGTCCTACAAGACTGCCCCCACCACACACACGCACACGCACACACACGCACACGCACACACACCAGGTGCAAGTCCACGCAGGCCGGGGCGGTGGGCCTGCTCAGGTTCCTTTGCATTTGTGTCCTCATCGGTGATACGATGCCACCTCAGAGGGGCGTCCTGGGGCCAGGGCAGGGACGTGTGGTCACGGAGCCGTCCGCGAACGCGCGTGTCAGTGGCCTGTGTCAGTGAGGGCGCCACCTGTCCCTCCTGCTGGCCACCTCTCTGTGTGAGCGCCTCAGGCGCCTCCCTCACCGGCCCCCCTCACCTCCAGCCCGGTTCCGGCTCTCCGTGTGAGCTGGTCTGCACCGACTCACCTTGAGAGCAAGAGCATCGCTTGTTATAACCGGGGGAGGGGGGGGAGGGGGAGAGAGGAGGGGATGATGTCACCAGCCAGCTGAGTGTGGTGGGGCGGGCGCCAAGGTGAAGGAAGAACTGTGTTCCGTCCGTGTTGCTGTCCTTGCGTGGGGCGGCCTGGGCCATGGGGCCCCAGGTGTGGACGGCAGCGAGGGGCCAGGGGGCCGTGGCAGAGAGGGGCTCACTCTGACCGCGGGTCCCAGAGGCCCCAGGACCAGCTGGGGAGCAGTGACCATGACACTGTCCAAAAACTCCTCTGAGGTGCAAGGACAGTTTCAGCAGGTGCCCTCCAAGTCGGATGGGGTGTCCCCTTCCCTCCGCTCGTTCCTCTGTCCGTCCGCCTGTCCAGTTCCACCTGCCAGCAGCCGCGTGTGTCCCGAGGTGGCGGATGTTTCTCTTCTGTGCTGGAACCCTTGTCCCTGTTTTCCTCACAAATTGGTTCTAAACCCTAAAACCCAGCGCGGGGGGTTGAGGCCGGTCCGGCCCAGCAGGACCCGCGGTGCCGGCCAGGCAGGGCCAGGTTCCGCCCGCACAGGCCCAGCTCCGCCAGCAGGTGCCCGGCGGGCGCGGCCCCGGAGCCGCAGGGGCGCCTCATCCGCCCGCCGCCGCCTCAGTCCGCCCGCCGTGCTGAGCCTCGAGCTGGGACCCGACTCCCGAGCAGCGTGTGCCCTGTTCCCAGCCTCCATCGTGTTCGTCTCCGGGCGCCGGGCGCTTCACCACAGACGCGAGTCCTGGCATCTCCAGTGACGGGCGCTGTGTCTCCGCGTCCCCGCGCACGGCTCTCAGACCCCGTCCCCTGAGGGGCTTCCCTCTCCTCCCAGAGCTCCTCCGGGTTCCAGACCCACCTCGCTGTGTCTCCGCGCCCCCGCGCAGGGCTCTCAGACCCCGTCCCCTGGCCGGCCGCGCTTCCCTCTCCTCCCAGAGCTCCTCCGGTTCCCGACCCACCTCGCGCCCTCGTGGGTTTAGGCTTTCTTTTCACTGGGCCACGTCCACAGACCGTCTCCCCCCCGAGACCATGCGCAGCGAGCTGTCTTCCTGAGCGTTTCTGAGAGCGCCTGCCCGCCTTAGAGTGGGTGCCCGCCTTAGAGTGGGTGCCCGCCTTAGAGGGCCTGCCCGCCTTAGAGTGGGTGCCCGCCTTAGAACCCGCGCCCGCCTTAGAGCGGGTGCCCGCCTTAGAGCCTGTGCCCGCCTTAGAGGGCCTGCCCGCCTTAGAGTGGGTGCCCGCCTTAGAACCCGCGCCCGCCTTAGAGCCCGTGCCCGCCTTAGAGCCTGTGCCCGCCTTAGAGCCCGCGCCCGCCTTAGAGCCCGTGCCCGCCTTAGAGCGCCTGCCCGCCTTAGAGTGGGTGCCCGCCTTAGAGCGCCTGCCCGCCTTAGAGCCCGTGCCCGCCTTAGAGCGCCTGCCCGCCTTAGAGTGCCTGCCCGCCTTAGAGTGCCTGCCCGCCTTAGAGTGGGTGCCCGCCTTAGAGCGCCTGCCCGCCTTAGAGCCCGTGCCCGCCTTAGAGCGCCTGCCCGCCTTAGAGCCCGTGCCCGCCTTAGAGTGCCTGCCCGCCTTAGAGTGGGTGCCCGCCTTAGAGCGCCTGCCCGCCTTAGAGCCCGTGCCCGCCTTAGAGCGCCTGCCCGCCTTAGAGTGGGTGCCCGCCTTAGAGTGGGTGCCCACCTTAGAGCGCGTGCCCGCCTTAGAGCCCGCGCCCGCCGCCCGCAACTCCTGGCTGGTTTCCGCCTGCAGCCCCGAGGGAACCTGGCTCGCAGATGCTGTGGGAAGCACAGCTTGGCCAGGGTGGCCGTGGGAGGCTGCCGTGGCCTCGCACACCCGGGGGTGGCGGGTGCTTTGTTCCTCTGAGAGCATCTCCCTTCATCTCGGTGCGCTGAGCCCTTCCTGTCCTAAGACGCGGCCGTGGGCCGGAGGGATGGTGCTGAGCGTTTCTTCATCTCCTCTCGTCACTCACTCCTCTTCGTTCGGGAACCCGGGCAGTGGCTGTGGGGGTTTCTAAATGGGTCTGTGTCTCGTGTGTTCTATCGCCGAGTGTTTTCATGACACGATAATTTTAATTTTTCAGTGTTCTCTTAATTAGGGAAGCGGTGAACACAGGCACCGCAGTGATAAATTAAAGTAGGAGTAATTGTAAGTTGGAGTCAGACTGGGAGGAGGCGGGAGGGAACAGCTGAGGGAACAAATGAGGCGACGTCTTGGGAAGAGGGAGGACGGCACGATCGAGAGGGAGTCGAGATGCGGAAGATGTGGTGGGGAGACGGGGACCCGCTCCGGCGTCTGGGCCCGACGCTTAGGAAGGAGAAGTGGAGTCACTGGCTTCACCGAAGACTCTGGGGCACGAGAAGGTCTGAGCCACCTGCCGAGGCAGCCAGTGAGCAGCAGGCACCTGAGCTGCTCAGGACGGACGGGTGGGACCGGCCGCCTGGCTTTGTAACCTCCAGGGATTAGAACCTGTGACAGGCGGGGCATGGGAATTGGGCAAAGCAAACACGGTGACAGGACGTGCATGAGGGACCTAACCAATGGGCACAATGTTTCATCAGTGATGGTCAGTGCTGAGATCAGATCCATAATCCTGCCTCCATCCAGGGCCATGACTGAATGTCCTCTGCGCAGCCCCCCTCCCCCAGGTCACCGTCCCCATCACCATCACCCTTACTGTCACCGTCCCCATCACTGTCACCATCCCCATCACCCTCACCGTCACCGTCTCCATCACCATCACCTTCACCGTCACTGTCCCCATCACCATCACCCTTACTGTCCCCATCACTGTCACCGTCCCCATCACTGTCACCGTCCCCATCACCATCACCCTTACTGTCCCCATCACTGTCACCGTCCTCATCACCGTCACCCTTACTGTCCCCATCACTGTCACCGTCTCCATCACTGTCACCGTCCTCATCACCGTCACCCTTACTGTCCCCATCACCATCACCGTCCCCATCACCATCACACTGTCCCCATCACTGTCACCGTCTCCATCACTGTCACCGTCCTCATCACCGTCACCCTTACTGTCCCCATCACCATCACCGTCCCCATCACCATCACACTGTCCCCATCACTGTCACCGTCTTCATCACTGTCACCGTCCCCATCACCATCACCTTCACCATCACCATCACCCTTACTGTCCCCATCACTGTCACCGTCTCCATCACTGTCACCGTCCCCATCACCGTCACCCTTACCGTCATCGTCCCCATCACCGTCACCGTCTCCATCACCGTCACCCTCACCGTCACCGTTGCCATGCCAACGTGGGTCCCAGGAAGGACTGAGACAGAGAAGAACTTGGGAGTGTTTGGTCCCCAAGTTTGAGGGTCTCTGCCAAAATCTTCCCGTCCCCATCACGTCCATCTCAGAGCAGCAGCCGTGGTGACCCGTGGAAGCAAAGCCTGGCCTGAGCGCGTGCTGCACGCCGTTCCCGCTGCTGCTGGCGAGGCCTCGGAGCGGAGCTGGGAAACCTGAGCGGTGAGCTCGGGGTTGAGAAACGGTCTTGCTTTTGTTTGTGGTCATTGGTAATGAGGAGCCTTTAAAATGAGCTTTCCCTGAACCCAGACATAAACAGCAGTGGTGCTGCCCATTGCCTCCCGGTCCTGCAGCCCCCGCCCCCGAGTTCCCTGCACCCCGGCACCCCCGCCACACACTCCGAGGATGCTCCCACTTCACCATGATGGCACCCAGCCCCAAAGAGCGCGGGCAGGTCACACCTGCACCCTGTCTGCCTCACCCCACCCCCTGCTCAGTGCACTGTGTTCTCCCCGCCACCCGAGAGGCAGCGCGCCCTGGGCCAAAGTCACGGATGGGCATCAACCTCGGACACCCGAGCCCCCAGGGGACGGGAGGAGCCATCGCCAGAGAGGGTCCCCCCGGCTTCCTCACCGTGGTCCCTGGGAAATCTGTCTGTCCCAGATGCAACCTGCCCTCCCGTGGGAGCGCCGTCCTCTGCGCGTCTCCCAGCTGCCGCCGGTCCGGTCCTCGGCCGCCGCGCCCCGTGCTGGAGAGGACGCCTGCAGCAGGCGATCGCCTCTGCCTCCGCCTGCACCCATTCCGCTAGTGGTCATTACGTCAGGGCTTTGCTAGGCGTGCGAGGAGCAGCAGTTTGCCGTAATTTACCAAATTAAATAAGTTGTCTTCATGATTCATTGTAGTCGTGTAATATTTTTCTCTGTAGTCTCTGCCTGGTTTTAATTTAAAATGAATTGATTGGCATTATTAGGGCAGTTTGGTTTCTTTAATTAAAAGTGCATTCATGCTCTGACACGATACTTATTTAAAGAGGTGGATTAAGCTTCGTTTTACAGGCTGCGTTTAGTCAGTTCTTCAGTGCTGAGCTGTATGTTTCCAGCGTAACTTCATTAGGAACCAGCCTGCGCTCGCCCGATTTGAACGTCCGCTCATGAAGCAGCTTCCTGGGCGAGACCTCGTCATGATCGCGGTGACTTTGTGGGTTTTTGTTAAAGTTCCCAACCGCTTGAGTCTGTGATGGGGAAGGACTTTTAAACATATGTCCTGCAATGTCATGCCAGTCTCTGAACAAAAGCATGTTCCAGCACCGCCCAGGGTGCCAGGCTGCTGTCACTGCCACGGCACCAACCCGCCTCTGCCTGGCATCACTGCTGCCCTCACAGCAGAGGCACTTCTCAGACCCAGTTACAGCTTCACGTCCCTGTGCGGTTGGGAAAACGATTCTACCAGCCCGTCTGATGGTAGAGCGAGGTCCTCTGACGGCGTGGGGGAGGGGGCGGTTACATCACAGAGAGCACCTCTCTCCTGCCAGGTGCACGCAGACGGGTTCTGGGGTTGGAGGTAGGTGTGGGCACAGGCATGTCTAGATCAGGGTGGGCTCTGAGGTTGGAGGGCAGGTGAAGGCACAGGTGTGTCTAGAACAGGGAGGGCTCTGGGGTTGGAGGGCAGGTGAGGGCAC